TGTTTATCTACATGTGATTTAGTATTTATCATTAGTATTTATCATTATTATTATTATTAAATTTATCATTTTTATTATTAGGCTCGTGCTGATCTAGAGGGTCACTCCATTGATGCCTCCTCTACAGCTGAAGCAGTTCAGTTCATTACACTCATCCAACACCTCAAGAGGGAGATTAAGAGTTGGGAGGCTCAAGTGGAGGTGTACAGCTCAGGACAGAAGATACTCGAGAGGAACAGATACCAGTTCCCCAGCAGCTGGTTGGATATTGATAATATCTCGGGAGAATGGGGAGCATTTAATGAGATACTGAAGAGAAAAGACGTGGCAATGCAGAGTCAGGTGGGCACTAATTAGGACATATTGGGCACTAATTAGGATATATTGGGCATTAATTAGGATATGTGGGCATTAATTAGGATATATTGGGCATTAAAAAGAATAATGTACTTGTACATATGCATGTATGTATAATATGTAGATGTAGGCATTAATTAGAAATTGTTATTAGCAGTTTTGTTCATGCAATAGATGATAGTGTGTATATTCACATTATTAGTATCTGTTGTGTATGTTGACGCTGCTTATAGTGACAGTAATGTCATACATCAGTGTATAGTATTAATATAATTGTATTAATATTCACAATATGACATTGTACATGTACATCAATGTATTATGTTGGATTTTCAAAAAATCTTTCTCTCTTTGTTTCTCTATAGATTGGTAGTCTCCAGATGAAGATTGTTGCTGAAGATAAACTCGTTGAAGAGAGGACGGCTGAGCTCCTTCAGGAATGGGAGAGAAAGAAACCAATACATGTAAGGAGTAAAGGAACAGGCTACATGTACATGTAGATCTACTAGCTGTTACGTACATTGTATACATGTACATGTACATCATTAGTAAAATGATGAGAAATCAGTGACTGATATAATATACTGTGATATTTATTTACCACAATTCTCTGATTACTGCAGTACATGTGTATATACATGTACATGTACACTCTCATATTTTATTGATTGTTATATTTTTGGTTGCTAGGGTGAGCTCCGCCCGGATACCGCCATGACAACGCTGACGGTCTACGATGGTCGGTTTAGTCGGTTGAAGGAGGAAAGAGACAATATTATAAAAGCAAAGGAAGCACTTGAACTAGCCGAACCAGGTAATAATGAATACACAGCCTTTTGTTTTACACTTTTTTTATACATGTGTACATGTATAATTAAAAAAATGTAAAAAAAATCCTCAAAAAATGTAATAATGTTACAGTTACTATGGCATTTATTTGTAATCTTTATTCTCTCCTCCAGGTCTTGTTGTGTCCAGTGATGACAGACTAGCTGTTGTTGTTGAAGAGTTGCAAGACTTGAAGGGAGTTTGGGTTGAACTTGGTAAGATATGGGAACAGATTGATGAGTTGAGGGACAAACCATGGCTCTCCGTCCAACCTAGAAAGGTAATTTAGATTAATTAATGTACATGTACATGCATATGTATACATGTATGTATTATGAATTGTGATATTTTGATATTACAGTTGTGATACTGATACTCTGATTATTATGATATTGGTAGTTATAATCACATATGATATACACATGTACATGTACATTGTACATATAGCATTTATACCTTTATTAATACCTTATTGTGATACCCTTTCTATTCACTTACATGTATATACACGTATGTACATGTACATGTATGCCCTTTTTACTGATATTTTCTATTTCATGTATGCATATACTTGTATTTTTTATTTTATTTTTTCATCTTTCTCCCTCTCTCTCTCTCTCTTTAGATAAGACAGTCTCTTGATGGTCTCCTCACTCAAATGAAAAACTTCCCTGCACGTCTAAAGTCCTACGCTTCCTTTGAATTCGTCCAAAGAATGATCAGGAACTACCTCAAAGTGAACCAAACAATAGCCTCACTCAAATCAGAAGCCCTCAAAGTGAGCAACCAAATCATGTGATCATCATGCCATGTCATGTGACCTGCCATTACATGTACATGTATAAAAATGAAAATGTGTGATACATGTACATGTATTTTTTGTTGTAGGAGAGACATTGGAAGCAGCTGACAAGGAAACTGGGCGTGTCCTGGATCCTGTCTGACCTGTCTTTGGGACAGGTTTGGGGTGTAGACCTCATCAAGAATGAGGTTATTATTAAGGACGTGATCTGGGTAGCACAGGGAGAAATGGCTCTAGAGGAGTTCCTTAAACAAGTGAGTTTACCAATAATATACTGAGGATTACTAATAGTGCATTGAAGATTACTGATTTAGTAATATTGTACTTACACTATAGAATCTACATGCTCAATATATTAATTTTTACTATACTGAAATTTACTGGGATTTACTTTTTTTGTAGGTTCGAGAGCAGTGGATGATGTATGAATTGGATTTGATCAACTATCAGAACAAATGCAAGCTAATAAGAGGATGGGATGACCTCTTTACTAAAGTGAAGGAGCACATCAACTCAGTAACTGCAATGAAACTATCACCATTCTTTAAAGTAAGAGAGAGAGGGGGGAGGGAGGGAGGGAGGGAGGGAGGGAGGGAGAAAGAAGAAGAGTAAGGAAGAGAAAAGAAAGAGACATGCATGTTGATTAGTTGTGAGATGATGAACTATTCAAAGTTCAAATATCCATAATAAAGAATGAGAGCAATATTTAGTATAGTAGAAAAGATTGAGAAAAGAGAGAATGTCCATTAAAGTTATAAAGAAAGAGAGAAAATGGATAACTTTGTAGAAAAAGAGCACTTTAAATTTCTCATTTTACCTAATCCCACATCTTGTTAACAGGTATTTGAAGACGAAGCTCTAGCTTGGGAGGAGAGACTGAACAAGATCAACGCTATCTTTGATGTTTGGATCGACGTCCAGAGACGCTGGGTCTACCTTGAGGGCATCTTCACAGGCAGTGCCGATATCAAGCACCTCCTGCCAAATGAGACTCAAAGGTTTCAGAGCATATCGGCAGAGTTTCTCACAGTCATGAAAAAAGTCTCAAAAAGTCCTCTAGTAATGGACACTATCAATATACCAGGGATATTTAAAAGTCTTGAGAGATTAGCCGATTTTCTAGCCAAGATCCAACGAGCTCTTGGAGAGTATTTGGAAAGGGAGAGGGCTTCGTTCCCAAGGTTTTATTTCGTTGGCGACGAGGATCTGCTTGAGATTATCGGGAATTCTAAGAACATTGCTAAACTTCAGAAACACTTCAAGAAGATGTTTGCTGGTATTGCTACAGTGATACTGTCTGAGGATGGTAACATGATTCATGGAATCAGCTCAAAGGAAGGAGAACAGGTTAGTCACATGAGAATCACATGACTTGTTTGTTTAGCAAATTTTTGCAAAAATCCCTGTACTATAGCCCATGGTTTTTCCAAAAAATGGCTCCGAAATCACCCCCAATTTTTATTGCATTTTCTGATGCATATTGATGTATTTATGCTGTGTAGAAAGTTTGAGTCGATTCCGACTTCAATTTTTCAAGTTATAACCATTAAAAAAAAATAAGCCAAAATCTGAAAAAATCCCTGTACTATAGCCCATGGTTTTTTCCAAAAAATGGCTCCGAAATCACCCCCAATTTTTATTACATTTTCTGATACATATTGATGTACTTATGCTGTGTAGAAAGTTTGAGCTGATTCCGACTTCAATTTTTCAAGTTATAACCATTTAAAAAAATAAGCCAAAATCTGAAAAATACCCAAGGCTATAGCCCATGGTTTTCTCCAATAAATGGCTCCAAAATCACCCTTAATTTTTATCACTTTTTCCTGATACATATTGATGTCCTTGTTGTTCTTATGTAGGTGGTGTTTATAAAGCCGGTATCAATCACTGACAATCCTAAGATCAACCAATGGCTGACACTAGTAGAGAAAGAGATGAGACTAACACTAGCCACACTACTAGCAAAGGCAGTGGAGGACATCTCTCAATTCAGTGGAGGAGAAATGAGAGTCTCCGATTACATTGAATGGGTTGATAAGTACCAGGCACAACTCATAGTACTAGCTGCTCAAATAAACTGGTCGAGTAATGTAGAAGATGCTTTGGTTAATGGTGGAGGAGACGGGCTGGTAGCTGTCCTTAAGATTGTGGAGGATACTTTGACTGTTTTGGCTGATTCTGTACTGCAGGAACAACCACCAGTTAGGAGGAAGAAACTAGAGAATTTGGTAAGTGCTGTTTGTATATTCTTGTGCACTCTAGTATATTTTAGTACATCTTACATAAGTTACATACATTTTATGGTTGGTACATGTACATTCTTAATTTATTTCTAGTATATTCTAGTATATTACTTGTATATGTCATTGTGTATGATGAGTATTAAAGCAATGACTGTATTAAAATGATATACAATGCTTTGCTAGATAGTATCTGATGCAATGACACTAATAATATCCTGAGTTATACTAGAATATACACTTTACTTTAATTAATGCCCGTTCCATTTATAGATCACCGAACTAGTACATCAACGTGACACAACCAGGCTTCTAGTCAAGAGAGAGATTAAATCATCGAAAGCATTTGATTGGTTGTCGCAGATGAGATTTTACTTTGATCCAAAGAAGACTGACGTCCTACAGCAGCTCTCCATACAAATGGCCAATGCTAAGTTTAATTATGGTTTTGAGTATTTGGGTGTGTTGGATAAGCTAGTACAGACTCCATTAACTGACAGGTGCTACCTCACGATGACTCAAGCACTCGAGGAAAGACTAGGAGGATCTCCTTTTGGTGAGTGTAGACTGACTCTGTGTATTTTGGTAATTTTTTGGTAAAATTACATTTTGCCAAAATAAAGCTCACAACTTTTAACCTTTATAAGCACATGCTCAGTAGCACATGACCAAAGAATGATGTATTAAAATTACCAAAAAGTTAAGCAACTTTCTCCTCCAAAATTACCATTAAGTATACAGTATACATTGTACATGTACAAGTTTATTGTGATCATTGGCTTTCTAATTAATGCTCATCTCCCTCATACAGGCCCTGCTGGTACTGGTAAGACAGAGTCTGTGAAAGCTCTTGGTCATCAGTTAGGACGATTTGTGCTGGTTTTTAACTGCGACGAAACTTTTGACTTCCAGGTACGAAGCACATATACATGTACTTTAATTAATTCTTACAATGTAATATTTGATTCTCTCTCTCTCCTTTTCTCTCTTTCCATTTCTTCCCCTCCCCAGGCTATGGGTCGTATATTTGTCGGTTTGTGTCAGGTTGGTGCCTGGGGTTGTTTTGATGAGTTCAATAGGTTAGAGGAGAGGATGTTATCAGCTGTCTCACAACAAATTCAAATGATACAAGAATCACTCAAAGAGCATAAGCACATTACACCTGGTAAGAGAAGGGACCAGGAAGAGAGTAGTGAATTTATATTTTCCTGGTAAAAGTAGTAATGTATGCATACTTGTTCACAAAATTACTAAATTAAGAAGTGGCCAAATGAATATTTTATAACAAAATCTTCTAAATAAAGTGCATGTACATGTACATGTACCTACAATTTAAGCAGTTGTACACTTTTGCTAAAGACTATAGCAAATTTTAATAGTTTTGTGGCTATAAAAGCAAGCTATAAATAACCTACTTTAATGTATCTCTTTTATTTTTGTTTTTGATTCAGGTTTATCTTCAAAGCCCATTACGGTGGAATTGGTTGGCAAGACTGTTAAAGTTAGCTCAGACATGGCGATATTCATCACGATGAACCCTGGGTATGCTGGCCGTTCCAACCTACCGGACAACTTGAAACAATTATTCAGAAGGTAAGAAATCAAATCACATGCAGTACTTGTATGTTTAAGAAATATCAATTTAAAATATGTAATTAATTAATTTTTGTGGGTGTGGTTTTTACCTTCCACTCTGTGTTTTTTATTTTATTTTTGAATTACATGTACCTTTACATGTACATGTTTTTTGGTCATGTGATTTGGTGATGACGTCAGATGACGAGATGATCTGTCACTGTCAACTGGTCAAACCGGTTTACTGTTCTAGTCAAACCTGTTAGCCTGTCGACTGCCTTATTGTAATATGATTGTTTGAGGCATTTGTCTGAAAATCACAACAATAAATAATAATAATAATAATAATAATAATAATAATTGTTTTTATATTTTATTTTCTTGTCTCTTTTCTTTCAGCCTTGCTATGACAAAGCCCGACCGACCCCTCATTGCCCAGGTGATGTTGTACTCTCAGGGTTTCCGAACTGCAGAGACACTCGCTAGCAAGATAGTACCTTTCTTCAAGTAAGCAAATGTTGGGCTTTAATTAGAGTGGCATGGGCTTTAATTAGAAGTGTTTAAAATTTTTATTCACTGGTCCTGTGATGAGTATTAGATGACGAGCCATAAGTTGGGAAACCGGTCAAACCGGTTTTGGTATTTGATGAATAACGAGGCATTTGTCTGAGGACTAAAATCATTCTTTTGAATGTGTACATGTACATCAGCCTTTTAGCCTTTTACATCTACATGTACATGTACTTATACATGTAGTCCCTACATTATGCAAATTTAACATGCAATGTGTACATGTACATGTATAATCTTTTCCTTTAAAGTTTAAATGTCTTGTTTTCTCTCTCTTCACAGATTGTGTGATGAGCAGTTATCCAACCAGTCTCATTATGACTTTGGTCTGAGAGCCCTAAAGAGTGTACTGGTAAGTGCTGGTAATATCAAGAGGGACAGGATCCAGCAATTGAAGCAAGAACTGGCAGCTCAGGGACAGACACTGGAGGAAACTGACCTATCCAAACAACTTCATGAACAAGAGGTGATACAATTTAGATGCATATATTAAGGGGAGAGAGAGAGAGAGAGTGTGTGTGTGTGTGTGTGTGTGTGTGTGTGTGTGTGTGTGTGTGTGTATACATGCATTGTTTATGGGATTTAAGCATTTTAATATTGTACTAAAATCACTAAATTCTTAAATACTTGTACTATGTACATCTAAAAGCCTGTGCTTCAATTTTTCATCTTTATTTTAACAAGAGCTTCTACATTTGCATACATTTTTAATTGAGAGTTCTTCTATACTTTATATCCATGTAGAGTTCTATTTCCCTCATCCATGTACATGTACTGTATATTGCCCCTGGTGACCCTAGTCTATTTGTATCAAACACTTTATACCTTAAACTTTTCTCCCTCCCCCTCTCTTTTTTCTTAGATCCTAATCCAAAGTGTATGTGAGACAGTTGTTCCTAAGCTGATAGCTGAAGATATCCCCTTGCTACACAGTCTCCTTCAAGATGTATTCCCAGGAGTTGCTTACAGGAGGGCAGAAATGGCCGCCCTTAGGAAAGAGATAGCAGCAGTTTGTAAAGACTCTCACCTTGTCTTTGAGGAAGGAGAGCAAGCCTCTTCTCAGTGGGTTGATAAGGTGGGTGTGGTTATGCTTCTAATTAAAGAGCACCTGGTCCTGTGATGAGTATTAGATGACGAGCCATAAGTTGTAAAACCGGTCAAACCGGTTTTGGTATTTGATGAATAACGAGGCATTTGTCTGAGGACTACATTATACTTGTACATTTATAAAAGTTGTATATTAATTACAACTATATAGCTATAGTAATTATTATTATTTTTAAATTTAACAGGTGTTGCAGTTGTATCAGATCCAGCTGTTGGCTCATGGTGTGATGATGGTCGGGCCCAGTGGAAGTGGAAAGTCCTCAGCCTGGAAGGTTCTCCTGAAGGCGCTTGAGAAGCTAGAAGGTGTTGAGGGTGTGGCTCACGTCATAGACCCCAAGGCGATATCAAAGGAAGACCTTTATGGAGTGCTTGATCCTAACACTAGAGAGTGGACTGATGGACTCTTCACTCACATACTCAGAAAGTAAGGAATACAGCATGTACACTGTATGTATGTAAGAAAGGGAGGAATAGAGAAAGGCTTTAAAATAAACAGTTTTTAAAACTAAATACTGTATGTTCTATATAATATACAGTATTTTCAATGTACTTGTCAAATTAAACTCAGGCACACATGCACATGTATACTGTGTTATATCGTAATTACTCATGTTGTGTATTAGACATTAAATACACTGAGACTGATGCTTTCTAGTAAATGTTATTTTTTTATCTGTTTTTTGCGACTCAAAGTTACAGCTGGTCTTGCGTTAGTGACCAGTTGTCGTTCCCGTCGCATACACCAATAATTATTAATTAATTAATGTGTCTTCTATCCAGTGACATGTGCCATTGAATGATGTTACTGGACGCTTGGACACACACACGTCACATGACTATCACATGATCTAGTATTATTGATTATTAATTCATTAGTTAATTCCTTTTTTTTAATTAATTCATTAATTATTTATTTATTTACATTGTATTTATTATTTATTTATTCATTATTTGTTTATTTACATTATATTTATTATAAATTATTTATTTATTTATTTATTTATTATTTATTAATTGATTGTGTGTTAATTATTTATTTATTAATAGGATTATTGATAATGTTCGTGGTGAGATTAACAAGAGACAGTGGATCATTTTTGATGGAGACGTTGATCCTGAGTGGGTGGAGAATTTAAACTCTGTACTGGATGATAACAAGTTACTAACACTGCCTAATGGAGAGAGACTCAGTATACCACCTAATGTATGCCAGGATATTATTAGTATACTCTCACTTTCAATATATGTGTATTATAGTACAGGGACTTTGACCTGATTTTTGAGCAACTTCAAAAATTCATAAAAAATCTAAATATAGTCAGAATCAGCTTAAACTTTTTACACGACATAAGAACATGTATACGTATCAGAAAATATTATAAAAATCAAGAATTCTCTACTTGACATTTTTGGCAAAATTTGGCCGACGCCCCTGTACTATAGTACAGGGACTTTGACCCAATTTTTGAGCAACTTTTAAAATTCGTAAAAAATCCAAATTTAATTGGAATCAGCTCAAACTTTCTACACAACATAAGAACATGTATATGTATTTTAAAATGTTATAAAAATTGAGAATTCTCTACTTGACATTTTTGGAAAAATTTGGCTGACGCCCCTGTACTATAGTACAGGGAATTTGACCCAATTTCACCAAAAATGACTAAGATCAGAGCACCCATAATTTTTATATTGTGCTATTGTGTTTAGTATATTATTAGTAAATCTCCGTATACTTTTTAGGTCCGCATAATGTTTGAAGTACAAGACCTCAAGTTTGCTACCCTGGCCACTGTGAGTCGTTGTGGTATGGTTTGGTTCAGTGAGGACGTCTTGACACTTGATATGGTCTTTGATCACTTCATATCGAAACTGAAATCAATACCTATTGATGAGGGAGAGGAGGAACTGAGGGGAGGAGGGGGCACCTCCGACCAAGAGACCATCTCTCCTATTATGCAGGTGAGCAAATACATGTATATGTACATGTACATATACACATGTAATTTTTGTTAATTTTTACGACTTATTAATTCTTACCCATTCAATTTTGAATCATTTTTGTGAGCATCTATTATTATTACACTGTTTCATGCATGTACATGTATTTTATATGCAATAATCATCATCTTCTACTTTATTGATTCATCTACTTTTTTAACTGCTTGCCCACTAAATTTTATTCCTTTGCCCATATATATTTCCAGGTCCAGAGAGATTGTGCTGATTTACTAAGCCCTCATTTTGCTTCAGATGGTATCGTTCCTCGTTGCCTCGAACATGCTGCAACTCTAGACCACATCATGGACTTCACTCGTCTCAGGGCTCTCAACTCTCTCTTCTCAATGCTCCACCAGATGATCCGAAACATAGTCTCCTACAACCAGTCTCACCCAGACTTTCCCATGCTCTCTGATCAGATCGAGGCCTACGTCCCACGCTACCTCATATTCTGTTTGATCTGGTGCTTCTCCGGAGATGGGAAGATGGTCTATCGGGAAAAGATGGGTGACTTTATACGAGGGACGACCACCATACCACTACCACCTGGTACTGCCCCCATCATTGATTTTGAAGTTAATATTCAAGGAGAATGGGTACTGTGGTCGAACAGGTAATTTCACAAATTAATTTTATTTCTATTTAATGCCCCACTTTCTATTTAATGCCCTACTTTTTATTTAATGCCCTACTTTTTATTTAATGCCCTACTTTTTATTTAATGCCCCTCTTTAGAGTACCCAAGATTGAGGTTGAGACTCATAAAGTAGGTTCTCCTGATGTCGTGGTCCCTACTCTTGATACAGTGAGACACGAGAGTCTCCTCTATACATGGCTGGCGGAGCATAAGCCGATGGTACTCTGTGGTCCACCTGGCTCTGGTAAAACCATGACACTCTTCTCTGCCCTTCGTGCACTGCCTGACTTTGAAGTAAGTATATACAGGTACATGTACATGTATTATGTACATGTACATGTACATACATGTATATTTACGAATGTACATGACATGTACATGTATTTACAAATGTACATACATATGCAATGTACATGTATTTTTGTTCCCTTCTTTGTTTTTTCTATTATATTCATCTTCCTGTCTCTTTCTCTCCAGGTTGTTGGTCTTAATTTCTCCTCAGCGACTACCCCTGAGCTATTATTAAAGACATTTGATCATTACTGTGAGTACAAGAGGACTCCTAATGGAGTTGTGATGGCTCCTGCTCAACTCGGAAAGTGGCTGGTTCTTTTCTGTGACGAGATTAACCTTCCAGACCTTGACAAATATGGTAAGAAATTTACAATAAAATTAGTAAATATAAAGTTATAACAAGAATTTGAGGGCTTAGATAAACACAAATACACTTTAGAGAGATGTCATTTCCTTTTTTATATCTCATTGAAAAATTCTTTTTTCTAATTAAAGGTACTCAGAGAGTAATATCGTTTTTACGTCAGATTGTCGAGCACGGTGGATTTTACAGGACCTCCGACCACACGTGGGTGACAATAGAGAGGATACAGTTTGTAGGAGCGTGTAACCCACCGACTGACCCGGGTAGGAAACCACTGTCTCACAGGTACAGTATGCTGTAGTGGGCATTGAATACTGTATTATTTAAGAGGGATGCATGTTTGTATTGCATTATACCATATAGCACTTTAATTGGGTATTTTTTTTATTTTGGTGATTGGCAGTCTGCAAGGTAAATCACCAATATTAAACCGCCAATCATTAATGCGCATGCTCAGTAATGCACGTGTACGCAAAAATTGCCAAATTAAAAACCACAAATTATAATTTTATAGCCAAATCGCCAAAATAAAGCGCTAATGGTATTTCTTGGTAATATGGTACTGCGTAATGATACTGTGTGGTTTTATTGTTTGAATATGTTGTAGTGGGCATTGAATGCCTCTAGTTTGGGGAGTGGTAGATGTTTGTTTGTACAATGTTATAACTGGCTATTGTAATCATGCTGTGTAACTGCATCATTTGTACATGTTTGTGTCGATAATTACAAATCATTGAAATTAAATAATTAATAGACCACCCAGAGTGAGAATTGCAAAAGCTATGAATTTCATTAATTTTATATACGGTATCCGCCCACGCACCATAATAAGTTTATCATGGAAGTCAATGGAGGCACGAAGAAAATGCCTCACTTACCTGCTGTAGCTCTATCAAAAGCTAAAAAGTGCTTGTTATAAGAAAGAATAGCTACCTTTAAGCTTATCCTGTGAAAGATTTGGTCAAATTTGCTCCAGAATTCTTAATACAGGTTTGTTTTTATTAGGGCTGGGACGAAGGTCATTTTGCAACCTTCGAAGCTTCTGCATAAAAAAATTCGAAGCCTTCGAAGGTTCGTTGTACATCAAAAATTATCACCCCGCCTCTGTTTATACTGTCAAAGTCATAGTTCAGCCCACTATATAAACTTGTGGTCTGGGTAGACAATCCCTATGTAAACTTTTGACCACATTAACTATTAATAACTACTAATAATGAAGCTTCGAAGCCTTTTTTTGTGCTTCGAATGGCAGCACTTTGAACAAAGCTTCGAAGCTTTGGAAGCTTCGTCCCAGCCTTAGTTTTTATGTTGTCCCGTTTGCTCTCCATTGAAAGTTGCCAACCAAAATGGCGGCCGGAATTTATTTCATTGTAAACCACGCCTTACAACCGTAATAGTCTTCCCACGCAAGCAATTCTCACTCTGGGTGGTCTATAAAAATCAAATAGTTGTTATTGTCACTACAAGGTACATGTACATGTACAGTGTATGCATTGAAATGTAAACACACTTATGTGTGTGGGGGATAGTATTTAATTGTTACGTTGGCTTTTCATTTCTGTGAACTTGAGATTTTTATTGTATCCTCCTGTCCAAGTGTACCAATCAATTCCTTTTTCATATTGAATTGAAGCATTAGAATAGCGACCATTAAGATTTGCATGAAAGCAACCATAGTGAAACCACCAGCCACTAGTCCATAGCTGAGCACAGTTATTTCGATTGTTATCATTATCATTATCCCTTGTACTGAATCTCCATCCATTATGATTAGACAGACCATCCCCAGCAGTACCAGAGTATCCTCCTACTGTTAGTATATATTCAGTACTACCATCACTAACATTAAATGTAGAGTAGTTAGCATAAGCTGTGTCATTATCAAAGTCTCCCAGGTCCACTCTTAGTGTGTTTGATCCTTCTTTAGTAAGACGATGAATCTTGCTCAATCCTAACCAAAACTCAACTGTAAGGTCACCAAATCCATTCTCATAGTCAGCCCAGTTCCTATAGAAATCAACAGATCCATCTTGTCTCCTCTGAAATACAGTCCATCCACCACCATCAGTCTCCATATCACAGTATACCTGTGAT